ACAAGACGGTAGCCATGGCAGCGGCCGGGCGCGCGGCTGGGCGGAGGGAAGATGGCGGTGACAGGCTGGTTGGAGAGTCTGCGGGCGGCCGAGAAGACCGCGCTGCTGCAGGACGGTAACTCAAGGCCCCCCGCGAGCTCCCTCGTCCTTTTCCCCGGGGTCCGGTCCTCCGCGCTAGCGCGTCCGAGAAGGGCCCGAGAACTTGGGACGGCAGAGCTGGAGGGGTTGCGCCGCCACCCAAGTCAGGTCCTGCATTTGCAGATGAGGAAACTGAGGCACAGAGAGATAACAAGACTGGAACACGCGTCTCTGGACACCCCCTAGTTTCCTGTATACCAACTTGCTCCGCACGGAGCTTTGTTGCTAATAAATAATACGTAATTCCTTTCACATTCGTAATGTCATTTGCTCCTCACAGCTGTCCCGAGAAGCTGTTAATTTTCCAATTCATTTTACAGAAGAGGAAACCGAAATCTAAAAGTTTTAGACTAGCCAGTCTTCCCCCAACCAGTCAGTGGTACAACTGCACCTTGACTTGGGATCCCATGAGCCTCACTCTGGGAGTTCTCTTGCTGGAGGCAGCCTGATGTCATGGAGAAGCGGGAGACCTGGGCTCTACTTACGATTCTGCCATTAATTCACCCGGGGCTCTCCTGTCGGCCCATTTACTTGTTTGGACTTCACTTTCCTCATCTGTAAAATGAGCTGAATGGGCTACCTGTTATCCCTGAGGTCCTTTCCAGCTGTAATATTGTTTGGAAGTGAACCTCTAAATGTTCCCTGAGTCTTTAGGGGAGACGGAGCGAGGCCGGGCTGTACCTGGAAGAGATGGGCACGGGTGTGGAGCCGACTTTCTCTCACCCTGGGATTGGCCGGTGTAGGTCCCCCTGTGGTTCAAGGTCACTTCCTGGACCCACCTGGCAGCCAGAATGAATTAGGTCTGAATTCCTGTAGCTTTTAGGATAAGTTAGGGACTCACATCCGCAGGCAGAGGCCAATCAGGGAAGCATGGAAATTAAAATCAGCTGCTCATTCGCTCATTCATTCACGCAGCATTTAGGCAGGGTTTTACTATGTGCCAAGCTGTGTACTAGAGCAGATAGAAAAAGAAATGTCTCGGGAGTTCACGGAGTGGTCATGTAAATAAATAAGAGTGTGTGTTAAATAGAGGTTGGAATCTTCTATAAAATACTATGAGAGCACAAAGGTGGAAATGATCATCTCTTTGAAGGAAGACCTGACAGAAAAGGTGATGTTTCTGGGTCCTAAAGAATTAATAAGTGTCTGCTAGGTGCAGAAGAAAGGATGGCTATTCCAGGAAGAATGACTCGTGTGAAGGCATGGAAGTATGACAGTATATGGCTGATTACTAAGGAAATACAAAACATTTTGTGAGGCTGACACATTCACCCAGTCAGTCGTAAGAACCCCTTACACTGTGTCAAGTATTAGGTGCTAGGATACAAGGGTGAATAAAAAGGTCTCTTTTTTCAAGGAACAATGAGGAGAAATGCTGGGAAATGAAGAGAGACTGCAGATAAATTTGAGTATGTTGTGATAGGTCTCCTGTATCAAGCTAAGTATTTTGAATATTACTTCATAGGACAGTGGTTTTTGTTTTTATTGTTAAAAAATACAGAACATAGAATTTACCATTTTAACCATGTTAAGTGTACGGTTAAGTACACTGTGGCATTAAGTACATTCACATGGTTGTGCAACCACTTGCTTATCCGTCTCCAGAAATTTTTTATCTTCTTTACCTGAAACTCTATAGTCATTAAACACTAACTCTCCATTCTCCCTAACCCCAGCCCCTGGCAATCACCATTCTACATTCTGTCTTTATGAATTTGATTATTGTAGGAACATCATACAGTCTCAAAAAGAAGAGTCATACTATATTTGTCCTTTTGTGACTGGCTTATTTAGCATAATGTCTTCAGAGTTTATCCAGATTGTCATATGTGTCGAAACTTCTTTTCTTTTTAAGGCTGAATAATATTCCATTGTATAATGTCTATCTGTTGATGGACATTTGGGTTGCTTCCACTTTTTTAGCTATTATGAATAATACTGCTATGAACATGGGTGTACAAATATCTATTCAAGTCCCTGCTTTTACTTTCTTTGGTCAGAAGACAGTGTTTAAAAAAATATTTCATCAGCCAGGATTTTTAAAGTTTTTTTTGTTAGCATCATAAAATAGTGTCGTTAGTTTATTTTTTCAAGCAAAAAAAGAAAAAAAGACAAACCAATGTTAAATATATAGATACACCTTGTCAAATTTCTCCTGTAGACTTACTCTCCTGATGTGCGTGGGAGTGGGTGGGCAGATGATGTTACCTCCTTCCCACTAAGAATCACTGCTATTGGTAATGACAACCCAATACACTATTTTTTTTTTCAAAAAATGACTTATGTTCATTGTGGAAACGTGAAAAATAAATACCCATAATCCTACCATCCAGAGATAATTATAACTTACATTTTCATGCATAAACTTCTATATTTTTCATGCATATATACTCACAAATATATATATATTTTCTTTTAACAAAATTTCATAATAATATACTTTAAAAACTTATATCCACATATATAACATGTGTATAAGAATAAAGTATAGATGAATATATAATCTTTGAGTAAGGGAGGATATTCTAAGCACAACTTCTGGGTAGTAACCACAAAGGAAACAACAGTCGACTATATAAAAATTAAACACTTGTTTGGGAAAACTCACTTTAAACAAAGTTAACAGGCAATTGAAACTATTTACAACATATGATACATGGGTAACATATACAAAGCTCAATTAGATTAGTAAGAAAAGGATGAATACCCAAGTAAAATAGGCTAAGGCCTAAACAGGTAATTCACTAGAAACATGATCAATAAACCCTTGGAACAGTGTCAACCTTACAAATATTTAAAGCCATACAAATTATCCTAGTATGGTTATTAGAGCATGGGCTTCAGCCTCAAGTCAGTTTAAGCCTGGGGCTGTCATTTCCTAGCTTTACGACCTTGGACAAGTACATGATTTTTAAGCTTCAATTTTCCTCATTTATAAAATACAAGTAATGGGGGCTCATAGGATTATTGTGAGAATTAAATGCAATAAAACATGTAAAGTGCCTGGCCAATAGTAAGCACTGCATCCTGCCTGGACTCAAGACTGGACTCCAGGGGGAAAAGAGGGTCAGGCCAGACATAGCCTCAGCCACTCACAGGCAACACCTTGTACCCTACTCCTGACAGGAAAACCCCTTCCAGCTCTTTGAGCCATCCAAAGGATTAAGAATAGTATCACTTAGGGGCCTGCTGAGGGGCATGCAAATTTGAGAGTGAGTTTCCCCAGAGCATATATAAGGAATGACTCAAGAGAATTGTGTCCTAGGGGAGTAAATTGTACAGAAAAAAATGACTTAGTAGATCAGATACATTTCCAAGTTTGGGCTAGTGGCACCTTAGCTGGCTAAGACCTTGAGGCTCTTGTTCATTAAATTTATGTTGGGCCTACCTGCTGGGCATTAGTGCTCTGTCATTTGAGCTAGATTCTAAAGGGCGAGGAAGAGCCCAACAGATGAAGAGAAGTATGGAGTTATTGCTGGTAGAAGAAACAGCAGAGCAAAGACACGTTCAGAAAAAGCTTCGGATAGTGAGTCCCACAACATATCTTAAAGAAATGGTGGGCAAGTAGTTGGGAGACTCTGGGAGGGTTTCTCAATACACTCAAGACTATTGGTATTTTCCATGTAGACCCCTTGATCTGCAGGGTTGCAAAGCAAGAGGAGGCTTGCGGGTAAGGCACTCTCTGCTTTGTGCATAGGGAGAAGAAAGGTGCACTATTTGTTTCCAGATGGGAAGGAAATGGCTGAAGAATATGATGAGAAGACGAGTGAACTACTTGGTAAGTGACAGGGACTCCCAGGAGGCCCTTAGGAACACTTGGGGGCAACACTCCTAGCCTGAGGCTTGACGGAGGAGCCTACCACCAAATGTGAGAGCTAGAGAAGACTGAGGCCCTTGAGGCAAGATTGTTCTTGAGAATAATCTGAGGTCAGGGCTGAACACCAGAGGTGGAGTAGGAGTCCATTTGACTAGTAAACCCCACTGCACCCCCAGACAATTGAGAGAGTGGGTAATTCTTCTAAGATGGGAATGGGGGTATAGAGAAACTTTACAAAGAAGGTGGAATTGAAAGTGAGCCTTGTAGTGGTAAGGGCAGTTTTCATTGCAGTTTTTTTGCTTGTTTTTTGTTTTGTTTTTCGAAGCCACATTAGGAACAAGTAAACATCAGAGGCAGCAGATTCTGACCTTGACTGAGAGGCAGCACTATGAAATATAACCCTCATCTTGGAGAATGTCTGAATTAAAGAGAGTAGGGGGTAGAAATGGTGATTTTGCAGCATTGTCTTTTGCATTCATGCAGGTTTTTTCTTTTAAGAATA